TCCAGATCTCTTCATCCTGCTCTTGCGCTGATTGTGGATCCTTTAGGGATGATCCTCCTCCTCGATCTGTTGTGGTATTGTGGTACATGATCTCCTGCAGAGATTTAAGTGCGGCCAGCGAGACCTCCCCATTCTTGCTCAACGCTGCATTCTGTATAAACTCGAGGATCAAGGACCAGGCACGCTCAAAGTCTCCTAGCATTTGGAGCAGCTCTCGTTTGGTGTTGAACACCCGACAGACGCCCGACAACGTCAGGACCTGCGTCTCGGCCCATTGCTTCTGAGCGGTGTTCCTCGAATGATGTATGAGAATATTGCCACTGGCATCCACCTTCTCATTGCTGGCCGAGCTGCTCAAGGCCCGGACGTTGTCGAGCAGGGGGAATAACACTTGCCAGACCAGGGCCTGCCAGGTCGGTGGATTCAACAGGCTGCCGTGGGCTGAGATGGTGGAGAAGAGTGTCTGGCCGGCCGATTTACGGACAGCCGGACGCAGATCTACGCACAACTCTCCCAATTTGGCATACAGACACATCCAGAGCTTATCGAATTGTGGCATCTTCACGGTGCCCGGAAATTCTGGCAATATGGCCACATCCTGCAGTTGTGTGGACATCAGTTTGTCCTGATTTTGATTAAAGAAATCCGAAATGTTCCACTGCAAAAAACAAACGAAAATTCCCATCAATTATAAAATCCATTTAAATATTTTATAAATTTTCCAATCAGAGACCATGAGACCAATCGCTGTGAGCGAGATATTCAGCTCCTGTGTTTGGGATCCAAATTTAGCCGCCGTGCTGATGCAGAGGGGCAGACAACGCCAGGGCATGACCGTGAGGAAGTCGGTGATGACCAGCTGTAGGCATTGGAAGGCGGTGCGTATCAATGGTTCGCCATGATGTTCGTTGACAGCGCCAATTATCTCAATGATGGCTGGCCAGCCAAAAGATAGTATCTCCCCGGCTGTGTTTAGTATCTGGAGAACACAATCCAACTGGCGTTGCCTCACATCAGCATGCAGGACAGTGGACAGCTCAGAGAGTGGACTCAGCAGCATCGTTTGTAGCTCCTATGGAAGATGGAAATTAATTGGTTAATTACTAATTTTTAATTTATTTGTCCAAACCATGTTCTCCTTGAGCGGCGTTTTGTGCTTGAATTGTAGAGCAGACTTCACTAGATAAGTGATGGCCTCCACACCCCACTCCCGCATGCGTATATGCCGATGCTGGCACACCTCCAGTAAATGATTGGTTAGCGGACGCCACAGCACATTGATTCGGGGCATATTCACGAGTCCCGTTTCCAGCAGCTTGGCCACCGCGAACAGCGATGGCTCTCGATTGGCATAGGCCAATTCCATGGCCTCGTGCGAGAGCTTGCACAAAGCATCGATCAGATGATGCAGCGCCACATCGTCCAGATACTGGCTGGACTCAAACAGCTGGCTCAGCATTTGTGACAGAACTGGGAGATCCGCCATTACGGCCGTTTGTATGCCAACATTTGCCTCAACGGCTGGCTTTGGCATGGCCTGGAGACTGCCGCCAGTTGAGGGTTTCAAGCCCAGTATCCAAACCAGATGCTGCAGCGTTTGCAGGACCATGTGCCACGATGTGCCCAGTATGCCGCCATTGTTGTGCGCCAAAAAGAGTATGGCACGCATGCACTGCAGATTCTTGTTGGTCAGCATTACGGGCGCCTGCATGACGCTGTGTGGCAGCGAGGCCGATGGCAACGGCGTGCCCACGGCCACAATCTGAGGCCGAAAGTCATCGGGCGTACAGTTGTTGAGGAACTGACTGCTCAGATCCTGGCTACCACTTCGAGTGTGACCTGCGAAAACCGAATAAAGAATTAACTTATGCTATGCCGAAAGGGATTCCGCGCACTTACATCTCACATCGCCGTCTGTTTGCGTGGCATTGGCAAATATGGACATGGCATAGTGGGGCGGAAACGAGGCTCTACACATGGCCATAATGAAGGCATCGCGTGGCTGCAACTGCTCCAGCATGCCACACAAAGCCGCATAGTTCTGCATGGCCTTTAATATATTTTCGGTGGTGGCCTCGTCCATCGATGTCTCCACCAAAGGTATGAAAGCGCTGAGCAGCCCGGACCAGCTGGAATTTACCAACTGCAGGCACAGCGGCTGGTGCTCCTCTTCCGTAATGATCGCCGTGTTGTGTGTGGGATGGAGCTCGGGTGTGCGCTGTATTACTCCACCAATCGAACGGGTCATGTCCAGGAGTATGGCATGTCCCACCGAGATGCCATAGCTGTCGGGTATATTGGGGGCATCCAGCTTATCCAGCATTTCCAAACTGCAAGAGAGAATAATCATAAGAAAATGTAATCTAGGACAGATCTCTTAACCACTTACTATACAGCCTTGGACACACCAGGGGCGTAGGTGGCGACGAGCGGCAGATAGGCTCCCCGAAACGAGAATCCACATTGATTATTGCCAGACAGAGTGGACAACGAGCTGGTGGGCTGCACTCCAAGCACTCCTCCATTCTGTTGGCCATTCAGCATAACAGACGCATTTATCAAAGAATATCGCACAAAGCTGCCCATGGCCGCAATCATATCATGTACAATGTTCGTGGCATGGTTCTTCAGGTCATACGACTTGCAGAAGAAGGCAATCAGCGAGGAGCGTGTGACCAGCTTGTGAATAACCTCCACAGCCAGGGCACGCTGCCAGGCTGGTTTGTCCGGATCCAGAAACTTGATTATCAGCGACAGAAAGATCTCGCATTCGGTCACCAATATGGTGTGGTATTTCTGTATCAGAATCGCCACCAGACGCAACAATCGCATGCTGATGGGAAAATAGGGTTTCTCTGCGGGCACAGGTGGGGTTCCATTGTTGGCTGCCGGCAGCTGGCGATGTTTGACATTTGGAGAGAAGAGTTTTATCACCAAGGCACAGACGCGCTCCTTGAGCAGCAAACGGAAATCGTTGCTCTGTGGGTGAAATTATAATTAATGGCATAAACTTAACAAATAATATTCTATAATGCACCCACCTCATGGAACACTGCACTAAAATTGGTGAGGACTGCCTCTAGCAGTTCTAGACCAAAGGTGCGCGTCATTTCGGTCATGCCGACCAGCCAATAGGGCTGCTCAGCATTCACCAGCTGCACCAGATCCTGAAACAGCAGAAATGCATCCGAGGCAAAGGTTTGCACATCTTGACCGGCTGCTGCGGCGCCGCCTTCCGCCTCCAAAGGGCTGTTGCTCGAACTGTTCGGCTGCTGCTGTTGCTGTTGCAGACTAGTCACTGAATCCTTCTCCAAGTAGACACGCTCAAACACAAGAGACACCAGCTGGCGTATGGTGGCCCCAGCAGTGTTGACTATTGTGGGATTCTTGGTGTAGTGCAGGCGAAAGCACAGCACCAAGGCCTTGGCCAGCGTATCGCCATGGACAACTGTGTTGGTCGTCAGCAGGAGGGTCACTGTCTGCAGCACCTTCACCTCCTCGATGTTGTTCTCCATGAGGGTCCACAGAGCGTTGGTTATGTAGAGCGCACCCTTTTGATCGACCACCTGCTGGGTAATCAGACGTTGCATCATGCCCAAACAGAACTGCAGCAAAAAGAACGATAAGATATGAGTATGGCATGAAGACATGGAGTCTGCTTTGAGTTACTTACCTTGATGATTTTCAAATCCTTGGTCTCGCAACCCTGCACCAGGGGATAGAGTATCTGGTTGACGGTGTAGTAGACAGAGTTTTGCTGACTGCTGCCAGCAGTGCAGAGCTTCGAAATAGCCTCCTCGCATGCCTGGGAGTTGGGAAAATTAATGGCCATGTTAAATTGTCACAAAATCAATTTTATTTGTTTTTGCTATCAATTTCATAATTGCGTAGCCCACACAGGCAGGTGCACGGACCACCCCCAGCCCAACAGCAAGGTATGGGGTGACACACTCAGTCAAAGCACACAAAACACACACACCCACACAGTTACTTAGCTAAATACATATGTGGCACGTTGCCGCAATTAGAAATGCGACCATGAATTGCGGCACACGTCAGCAGAGCAGCAGGACAGGACAGGACACGACTTACCTCTTTTATTTGAGGATACTTCTTCTTGGTTTCAAGTGAGAGCGTCTTGAAATCGGCCTGCAGCGCCTCCACAAACTTGTGCACATCTTGGCCCCCACCCCCGCCCACAAACGACATTGTTATTTGTTAGTTATATTCAGATTCAGCTCTTGCACAAAACAACACTTAATGCACTGCATGCATGCTGCATTTATGTACATTAATTGAAATAAACATCGACTGTAGAAAATACTTTATTCTTAGAAAACTACAAAAAGAAAGGTAACAAACACAATAAGCCGTGAAAATTCGTTTTGACAGCTGACGTACACAGTGGACAGTGTTAGTAAATGAGGTAATATGAAGATAGTATCATGAAGCAATTATATAAGGAGGTCCCATAGCCTGCGCGTCGGCTGCCTTCGTTCGTTTTGATCCCTGAGTTCAGTGCTTTTGCTTGTTGATGCGGAAGGTTGGGCGCGGACGAATATTTTCGAATATATTAACCCTTCCCGACGCAAAGTATGGTTTCTTTTAGAATTAAGAGCCTAAGAAAACAAACAATAATATATATTAAAAAGCAAATTTAACGAATACTTTCCAATAGTATATTATTAAAAATCAAAATGAAAAAAGAAAAGTTCAACTTATTTTCTTGCAATGGGCAATTTTAAACTCCTTGCCACCAAAGGGTTAATCAGCATACTACATTGTCGTTGCACTCACACTTACAACGCAGAGCCCTTTCAGTCGCACTAATTGGCAGCATTGTTAGGGGAGCAATTCTTAAGATGAGACCTCCTTATATAATTGCTTAATGGATGGTATGTGTGGAATAAGATGTGCATATGTATGTATGTTGGCCGATGGTTTTCAATCATCGATAGTATCGATGGCGGTATCCATTTTTTCCCAGCTCTACCGTGTTTGTTGTTATTGTTTATTATTTTTACAACTCTTCTTTACAGTTATACATTTACATTATAAAAATGAACATCATCATGTCCGAAAATACGCCAGCGAACAGACCCGCACAAAAGGGAAACTCAACTGCGAAGCTCGGTTCTCCGGCAATAGCAACAGCGACCACCCGGCAAGTCGCAGAAGCTTCGGGCTCAACAACGCATCAAAAGAAGCTGTATGTTTCATTCAAAACTGACAAATGTACTCCGTTGATAACTACGCAGCAGAAGAAGGGATCCCGACAAAGGTCGTCTGAATTTGTCGTCTCCGAATCCACATCCGCCCAAAAGCGTGGGAGTGACCGCCAGACGCAGGATACTCTTTCTTCGCAGGGAGCTGAGACTACCACTGGTGAGTATGCTAATTCACCTTCAATTTTATAATAAACATTCATTTAAAAGATAATAAATATAATATAATATAATATAATAATATAATTTAAATATAAGCAACAGGTCCCTGGCTGTGTCTGGAATGCAGTGTGAGCCTTCCATCGTATGGTGACTTCAGACTCCATCTAATTGAGAAGCACAAGATAACTACTGACCGCTGGGCGCTCTGCGAGGACTGTGGCTGGCGATCGGAGAGCAATCGCGCGTTGCATTTCCACAAATATACGGATCACCAGATCAACTCACTGCTCTACACTTTCCCTGAGTGCGACCTCTGTGATCGGAAATATTCGAGCATAGACGAGCTACAGGCTCACCTGACTGAGTGCCTTAGTGCTCACATTAGTGCCATTGAGGAGAGTGAACAGGATCCGGAGAACGATGGTAGCATTATCTACGACATCATTCTGGAGACTGACGACTACGAGGATGACGATATGCCACTGAAGCAGCCGCCCACGGCAAGACAAATCCAGCCGACTACCCAGACCCAGCTGGAGCGTGGCACAGCCAGCGATGGTGATGATGAGGCTGCATCCCGAACAGAAGATGGAAACCCAAGATCGTATTCCCCCACATCGACCGAGTACAATGAGGCAAGGGAGTGGATAGAAATAACTGTTAGTGGCATTCTAAAAGAAAGTGGCGACGAAGGCAAGTTTTTGCTATCTCGAGTTCATAAGAAAAACCTCACGCGATCACTGAGAAACAAATTGACCAAAATGATAGTCAACTACTTTCTGTCAAGAAAAATAAATATGACGCTTCAGCAGAGCTACGCCCTGGAGAGAGATGTGGTGCGGCTCTTTCCCGATGAGAAACTGGATCATTGGCGGAGCAACGGAAAAACTGCTGGAACATTATATAATAGTTTTCGATACAAACGACGAGTTAAACATGCAGCGGAGCTTCAAGAAGGGCAGAAGGAAACGCTGCAAGAAGACGAGAAACTCCCTTGAAGGAGTTGGATACGGAACTACAGAGGATGATCAAAGTTTCCTTTGACAGGTGACAGTTGAAGCTTACAAAACCTGGAATAAATTTAAAACATTTATTGTGCAGTGCAAGGCTTTGCCGTGACACTCTAGAAGGTAAGCGACAAATCCGAAAAGCACCGACAAGAATGGCTTTTTTAAATTAAATATTAAATTGCAGTTAATATCCTCGTTTAAACCGAAATACAAGAGAAGATTTTGGCGGTGCAGAACCCGAATCATGGGTAATCCGAACAGCAAAAGGATGACGTTCTTTATGGTCTTGAATGCTGTCATTATCATTAGCTTCATATACCTCTCTTTCTCGACGAAAGATATACTGCCCCAGAAACAGTTGCATTCGGTTGGAACCATTCCGATGAGCCGCAGGATCAAGCATAATAACAGTAAGCCTTAATTACAGCCCACCTTGGACATATTTTAATCGTAAAAATTCAACTTACTAGAACGGAATGGATTGATAAGAAAGGAAGGAAATTATCCTTCCTCAGAAACAAGCAAACAGCTGGAGGTGAAAAGAGCTAGTTTACTGCATAGCAATATTGAAGCCGCTCCATCTTTTTTGGCTTATTCCACTCAACAGCCAAAGTCGTCGAAGTCTCTAATGAAGAGCCAACAGAATACCATGCTAAGCTCCATTAATGGCAGTAGCAGCGTACTCGAAACATCAAGTGAGATCCCCGCATTACCTTTACTTATCCCGGTGCTTACAAGGACAGTTTATGAACCCGGCCATCTAAACGAAGAGCTTGATATTAAGAGGATATGTATGGACAGGGGGCTATTTCTGAGGTTGCTCGTTCTGATAACCTCAGCACAGGGCCACTTTATGGCGAGAATGTCCATCCGACAGACCTGGATGCACTATGCAAGCAGACGAGATGTGGGCATGGCCTTTGTCCTTGGCCGGACTACAAATGCGACCCTAAACGAGTCTATCAATCAGGAGAATTATATGTATGGCGATATGATACGTGGAAACTTCATAGACTCATACTTCAATCTCACTCTAAAGACGTTATCGATGCTTGAATGGGCAGACAAGCACTGTCCATTGGTGAAGTACATCCTCAAGACAGATGACGATATGTTCGTCAATGTTCCTAGACTTCTCGACTTCATAGATGGGCACAAGGATACACGTACGATCTATGGTCGCTTGGCCAGACGGTGGAAACCTGTCCGCAGTAGCAAGTCCAAGTATTTTGTTTCATACAAACTATATAGTGGCCTGCAGTATCCAACGTTTACCACCGGACCCGCCTACCTACTCACTGGAGACATTGTACCTGAGCTATATACGAAATCGCTTAACACGTTTTACATGCAACTGGAGGATGTCTTCATCACGGGCATTGTGTCCAAGAGCTTGGAGATTAAGAGGCTGCATGCCACAGAATTTCGCAACAGTCGCACCTCTTTTCTTCCGTGCAACATACGCAAAGCGATCAGCGTGCACATGATCAAGCCAAGCGAACAATACAATCTTTGGAAGAGCCTTTTGGACTCGAGTATCAAGTGTAAATAATTGTGTGTTGTCAAATGTTGAAAAAACTGAAACTTCAAACACTAACCAAATAGTATATATTTATATATTGTGACGACGCACAATTTTGTAGTATGTAAGTAGTTATAATTGGTAGATATATAAGTTCTATTATAAGGGAGAAATTATGAAGTAATCATTTAAGTTCGCGGCCCACAGTAGCCAACAGCAGCAGATCAGAGCAAAGAGAACGGCGACGCGAACCAACAGCAGCAGAGCCAAAGAGAACGGCGTGTGCCTTCCTCCGAAACGGGTGCTGTCTAGGTACTACCAGGGGCGCTCGCGTCGGAGCAGACAGGGGCGGCTACACTGCCAGAAGGCGCCTCCGCTAACCTCGGTGGTCGCCCACCGTTGGAGGCTCCGCTGGGCTGGTCGCAGGTCACTACCGCGCCACACCGCGGGCTCTCAAATGGCGCGTGCCTGTCTCCGAAACGGGTGTTGCCTAGGTACTACCAGGGGCGCTCGCGTCGGAGCAGACAAGGGCGGCTACACTGCCAGAAGGCGTCTCCACTAACCACTGGATGACCGGTGTCAATCAGGTTCCCTTTCCGCCCCATACGCCCACCTTTCCACACACAAGGCGTCTCTATTTCCGCAATCTCGGGTCCCGGCACTTTACAAATTTCTTTGTAAGGTGGCTCTGGAGAGGCTGAGCTACCTCAGGCTTCGAAAAGACTACCTTACAATATATATTTGGTATACTATTTGGTTAGTGCTTCAACTGAAGGAATTTGGTTTTTACTTACGTACGTCTACATTAAATACACATATATAATACATTCGTTTTAATTTAATTTAGTTGCAACGTTCATATCCAAAACGAAGAGGAACGGTGTGAGACGCGCCTTAAGCAGCGTCACAAATTTTATACAAGGAACTCAGTCAGTTTAGAAAGGGAGCTTATAATTATGTTATAAGTAAAGTATAACATAGAATTGATAGCTCTGAATTTAAAATATTAATTTTTACTACGGGTAGGCCATTGCGAAGAAATGAGGTCACTCTAGCCAAAATGATTCAAGATTTACGGTATATTTTGAAAAGGAGAAGGTATGTTATTGACGGTCGTGAGGTATATTTTAACGATTCATCCGCGGTCACACTGTTTGTGGGAGTAAATAGCGCCCCCTCCCGCGGAATAAGCTGAAAAAATTTGTTCACCCGTTGGTGGGTAGAATTTGTGCAAAGCCTCAAAAGTGTCATAAAACTGCAGTTTACAAGTTCGAAACGTGAATATAAATAAATCAAAGACTGCGGCCAGTCAAACCCATTAAAGAACACACACGGTCTGGGGTTTACCCAATGGTCTGGTCTGGGTAAAACCTTAATTAATGGTTATATATTTTATTTTGAAAACATGTTTCGCATGACTAATGAAACGGGTTGATGCTATAATAAAAGTTAGGGCCTCGAGAAAAAACTCAAAAAATAAGAAAAGTCAGACAAACGCCTCAAGGCTCGGAGATCTGGGCAGCAATGGTCAAGCGCACGCACACACACACACAAAAGGCTTTAGTGGTGGAACCTGCAAAAACAACAAAATGAGTAGCAGCAGCATTGTCGGCCTTAACTACAATTCATCATCGCTAATTGTCAACAAAAGCAAATTTATTAACGTTAAATAAACACTAAAAATAAACACCCAAACGCCAGGCAAGCAAGCAAGTAATTATGCTTGACCCTGGTCCAACAATAGACGCCATAGCCACAGCAACAACCACAACCGCAGTTCCATCTCCGTCTTCGATTTCAACGCCGCTCTTGCTGGCGGGAGTGTAAGCCTAAGTCTAAACCGCCCCCCTGCCTGAGCAGCGTCAGAAGCTGAATAACATAACATTTGGGAGGTAAGTCATATAGCGACGCAATGTGCGATGACGGTGCGTTGCTTGGATTGTTTCATTCATTGTTGTTTTATTAACATTACACATTTGTATGGTTGGGCAACAAAGCGAGCTTCGCTACCACCGATTGAGAGAGATTTCCACATTGGATTGTCCCTCACGCACACACACACATTACGACACGAGGTTTAGAGCAATTTTTCATTAACACATGAGATGTTGCCTGGACTGGATTGGGATACGTATGTTCCTGGTACTGGTACCAGACCGTTTTGATGCCACCTTGATTGATAGCAGGCCTCTCTGAAGATAGTTTTGAGGCCGCACCGAAAAACCCGTTTTGCTGCTGAACCTGCGATTATCTGCGGTTCATTGTACTTATTAGCAGTCGTCGAAGACACGGTACGGGGCCACGAAAATCCCAAATGGAGAGACCGATGGCTGACTGGGAACGGTTTATACCATTATGCCCGAGCAGCACTTCCGTTGCCCCACCGCTTCCTGCTGCTGCTGCTGATGCCCGCGAATTCAAATTAAAAACGAACCCGTCATATTTCACGGTACTTTCGGTAATTTCGAGCACAATTACAAATTGCTTACACATGTGTGAAGCAATTCTGTAGGGGGTCTATAGACTGCATTGCGCCCCGCTCCAAAAAAAAAGGGGAAGTCTGATAAGAGACCAGACCGCCCAGTGGCTGTGGCGATAAGTCTTTAAAGAATTTATGTGCTCAAAGTACTTGTACTCGTAGCAAAGTGCTTAAGCATGGACTAAATGCAAAGCACTTCTTGGTGATTCATCCATAAAATCTGAGATAAGGCTAGGGTACTTTCACTCTCGCCTACTGATGCTGACATGCTAATCACAGAGAGCGCCATCGCCTGCAACAACAATAGAATAATCTCCTACGTCACGTCACGTCACGCTGCGGTTTCCAATATACTAAATTTGTTTATTAGCTTTAACATTGTGTGTGGGTGTTGGTTTGGTGTGTGTCTTTCAAAGCGTCTCCACTGGTCTGTGATAAGCATGGGACTCGAAACGATATGAAGGCTGTAGAGTTAGACCCAAAAAAATTCCATGCGGTTCTTTTCGTTTCCAAGAGAGAGCGCGAGCGCGACCAAATACAGACTTTCCCTTTACCAGCAAACCCAAAAGCTAATCAATCGAGTGTGGCGTAGCTAATTGCTTGCCTCTCTGTTAATTAAATGGCTAAATATTTTCTGAAATGTTTGCAATTAAAACGTTTTATTTAGGATATTATCAAATGTAAGCTTATCTATCAGTTATTTCAGCACATAAAATGTGACATTTTTCGTTGTTTTTTGTTTGCCCACATGTAAACATATTTCTAATTGATTTGCTATCGTTCAAAGGTGTTTCGGGATCTTCCCAACAACAACAGAATCTTAAATATTTTATTGCACACCTTAAGGCTCTAAAAGATCTACAGTTAAAGATTATCTTAATTCATTGAGTATTTTTTTTTAATTTAAACAAATTCTAATAGTATTCCGATATAGTACAGATATGAATGCAAACCTAACCTTTCCCCTTAAATATTTTATAGATTAGATAAGCCATAAAAATCGCTGCTAATTGCTACCGTACCTATAGAGTATAGACTATCAAAAACAAAAACAAAATCTTAAGATAGTAAGCGCGGGCCCCAGCCAAATGACGCATTGGGATTTTCACGTTGCCTCTGCCACTTGAGAACGGTCAGTGGCAACACGAAAGTTCCTTAGAAAAAAAGGATTGAGTAGCCACTTTAGACGGTTTTATTGATTTCCTTAACATTGATAAGAGGAGGAGCCTACCGTTCCCGTCGCAACTGCTTGTAAAATTTTTATGGGTCGGTCTATAATTAGTTCGGAGTCCGTCCGCCGTAACTACTTATTAATATTACAAAAATGTACACGAGTATAAATATGGAAAAGGTCTATAGTGTAGACGGAGGCAATCTTATCACTCCGATGCTAACTGTTTTCATGCCAAGGCACAGAAAATTCAAGTGGTAGGCCAACTCTCTGACTGCTGGTCAAGAGTACACAGACTCTGTCTTCCCGAACCGTTGGCGTTTCTCTTCGGTGCCTGTCCAATGTTCGGCTTGCCCACGTTAAATCGGGTCAAGAATGCTGTTGACTTGTGTGAGCCGCATGCTAAGTGGGAGCCCAGAACCCAAAAACAGACATAGCCCAAGGCGGGCGATGTCGTGACAATTCTGGATGCTGCGTGTTCGAAGCACTTGCGGAATTCATAAGATACAAAATGTGGCCCATTCGTCATGCTGCACTTAAATGTAATGTTTCTTAAGGATACAATAGATGAGAACTAAAACTACTCATGACGCATGAGTTGTAGAGAAATCTCTAGGCAAAAAGGTGCAAGAATGTTTATCAACAATCTACCTAAAACTACTACTACTCCCTCATTCCATATACAAATATTTGCATTATTTCAACAATAATGAAAGATTTCAAATGGCCAAACTCGACTTTCAGATACCCGACACTGCAAAGAGCATGCAACCTAAGAAGGGGGGGGAACGAAAAAGTGTCCGATTCACAAATCAAATTAATTCTAAGAAAAAGCTCAAGTAGCTTCTATTGTAAATAAAGTTAACAAAGAAATGGTGTGTGGTAACACTTCCTTCGCAGAGCCACACGAAAACAAACATACCTTTAGTGCCCAAGAAGAGTGCCGGGTATCCGGCGGCGATGTAGGAACACTTAACGAATCAGCGGAATCAGTTGTTTACTTAAGTTCTTTTTTTTCTCTCAATCTCATTGCAGTCGCACCGCATACGTCGCGACGCTTGGACCCGCCCAAGCGCCAAGCGGATCGTTTTCGTAACCGGAATATACCCACGTAGAAAAATATATAACGAACCATAGGAGGTACGCACCATGGTGGCCGTGGGCAGTCTACACAACACGCGCATGCTGCGCTTCCTCTTAGTCCTAGTGGTTTTCATCCTCACCATTTTTATCTATGCCTCGTATTCGACGACGGCAACGTTGACACCACCGCGTGTCCGACCAGCAGCTTCACCGCCTCAGCAACTGGTGGGCGACAATCCGAACCAAATGTTAACCCCGAACAACACTGGAGAGTTCGGACTGGCCACGGGCGACGCTGTGCCCAAGGTCCAAAGCAGGCAGCAGCAGCAGCACACAGAAATTCATAAAAGGCACCCGCCACAGCATCGTCTGCCCACGATCGATGAGGATGCCCTGCTGGACGGAGGCTCTGCTGGTGCCAGCCCCAGCCAGGTTGGCGTTGGCGGTGCTGACCAGACGCCCAATGCCATTGCCGATGAGATGCTCGAGGAGCAGCAGTATGGCCAAAGTGTTGATGGTATCACTGGTGAGTCTGTTCGGTCTGTTCGGTCTGTTCCACTGCTAATTATGCTAATGATATAATCTTTAATTTCTTCAGGCAACATCAGCAGCAACAACAACATCAGCAATAGCAACGGCACCAGCGAGGCGTTGGTTGTCAAACAACCAGCCACTGGCCCTGGCTCCCCCGCCCAATCGCAACAGTCGCCCAGTCAGCAGCAGCAGCAGAAGCAACAGCAGCAGGCACGATCCGAAGCAGAGGTTCTCATACCCACTTCTAATTTGCAAAAGTTCATTGAGAATGCCGATAAGATATTGAAGAACATCACATCGAACAGCAGCAGCAGCAGCGGAGGCGGTGGCACCGGCAGCGGCAGTGGAGTTGCCGTACCAGCAAACGGAAATGACCAGCACATAGGTAGGGCTCCAGGATAGATAAAGTAGGGTCTAAGCACCAAATTATAATACAGAGGCATTAATGTTGATTTCAAAACGTCTGACGCTTAGTCCACTGAATGTCTGTTTAGTCCTCCTACGCTTATTAAAACGTATCGTGTTTCCTCCTGACAATCCCTAACAATGGCAATGTACACAAACAATGCAAATGTCTGTCGTTCGTTAACTGATACGTCAGTTGTCATTTGCGGGGGGAACTAATTAGAATATAACTCCCTTCCCTTGCTTATGTTAACTTTGCTAAACTTTCCATCTTTCCGTAGATAAGGCCAACCCACAACCGGAGGAGACACAAATCAATTTGTTGGATGGAAAGAACGAAGTCTTTGAGGGATACTCAGCTGATTCGGACAAACAGAAGCTAGTGCCCCCTTCTAATGCCAAGAAAAACCATGTGGAATCAGCGGTTCAGTCTGCCAGACCACCTGTACCAATTATACGCACCACAAAGGGTAGGAGCAGCGTTAAGGAGCAATCTACGCCGGTGGATCCCTCCAAAGGGGTGGCTACAGAGAAGCTCTACGAGTCCGGCCACATCGACGAGGAGATCGATGCCGATCACATTTGTCCGCACGCGGGAGAACCCATAAAGCTGCTTGTGCTCATCAGTTCTGCACAGTCGCACGAAGCGGCGAGAATGTCTATCAGACAGACTTGGATGCACTATGGAAGCAGGCGGGATGTAAGCATGGCCTTTGTTCTGGGCCGCGGCACCAATGAAACGATTAACAAGGCTCTCACCAAGGAGAACTATATCTATGGGGATCTGATACGCGGAAACTTTATAGACTCGTACAATAATCTAACACTGAAGACGATCTCCTCGTTGGAATGGGCGGACAAGCACTGCCACCGTGCCAAATACATTCTCAAGACAGATGACGATATGTTCATCAATGTGCCGAAGCTGCTGGCCTTCCTGGACAAGCACCAGGACAAGCGAACCATCTACGGCCGCCTGGCCAAGAAGTGGAAGCCCATACGTAATAAGAAATCAAAGTATTATGTATCGGTCGATCAGTTTGCGGCTGGTGTGTTTCCCTCCTTCACCACCGGACCCGCCTACGTTCTCACCGGTGACATTGTTCATGAGCTGTATGTCCGTTCGCTGAAGACAGTCTATCTGAAGCTGGAGGATGTCTTCACCACGGGCATTGTGGCCAAGAGCTTAGACATTAAGCGGGTGCAGGTGAACGAGTTCGTCAATCGCCGCATCTCGTTCAACCCGTGCAACATACGCAACGCGATCAGCGTGCACATGATCAAGTCGAACGAACAATTTGATCTGTGGAAGAAGCTGCTGGATCAGACAACCAAGTGTAAATAGTATTTTAAGTTTAGATTGTGAAGGGAGGGAGCAGATAGTTAGCAGAGGGAAAGTGAGTCTATATAAGATGATGATAGAGAATGAATGGATGTAGCAAAACGCAGCTATAGGGTTATTAGCATTACGTCTAGTTTCTAAGTCCTAGGAATATCACAAATATTTGTCATCGATCAATAGTATCTTTATCTGCATATAGTAACGTTACTCTTAAATGCATACCGACTGGAGACTGGGAGACCCGAGAACGAAGTGCGAAGAGATTACATTTTAAAGGTTTAGTAGTTTAATTTTAGCATTATGAATGCCATTATTTAAATGATAATTACTGAGCGATAACTGTGGTTATATCTTAACACTAAATACATGTATGTATATAAAAAAAAACATATTCCGTTTTCCTTCTACTTTTCCCCCTCTATTACCAACTGCTCGTCAGCACTTAATTAAATATTTGTCTTAGGTCGCTCGTGTACCGATTCTGCAACTGATTTGAGACATAGACAACCTATTTGGATCAACCATCAAGGCACCCAGACCTGGCATAATTAAAGAAATAGATAAAGCATCTGTACATATAAAACTGTGCTCAATTACAAATACACTTTGCGGCCTCTGTCTGCAACTGGCAACAGTCTTACTGAATATCAGATTCAGTACTTATCTATCATTTGATGGAACAAGCCGATAAAAAATGGGTGATCTGTGGACTACGCGCGTTTTTCGCTTTTTCATGGCTCTGCTCACAATTATTTTGTTGCTGAAAATATTTGGTTATTACTATCCAATAAGGGCAAGGGAAAAGTTCATTGGACTTCAAGGACAAACAAATTCATTAAATGATACTGATCTTATGGGTAAGTGCATACTCCTATGCAGATGATAGACCAGAGCCTTTGAGTTCCCATTTTTTTCTAGATAAAAAAATACAAATTCACTTGCTGGATTCTGGCAATCCAGCCAAAGGCCAAACGCTAATGGATAAAATAAGAAAGGCTTTAAAGGCAGCCGCAGAGAAATCGAATAGTTCATTCAATCAACAATTCAATAGAAATCACATCTCTAATGTAATACCCACAAAGTTGATGTACGAACCTGGACATATGCTCGACGAAATAGACGAAGATCGGATATGCCCCTACAAGGGGAAGGACATCAAAGTGCTGTTTCTAACCAATTCGGCACTCGGGAATGCTGAGGCGCGCATGGCCATCCGACAGACATGGGGACACTATGCCAGCCGTATCGACATTGGACACGCATTTGTGTTAGGTCAAGGTACAAACGAGACTCTCAACAAGGCCATCGATGAAGAGAATTACCTCTATGGAGATCTGATTCGTGGCAACTTTATCGATTCCTACAAAAACATTACACTTAAGGTAATCTCCTTGTTGGAATGGGCGGCTAGGCATTGCTCGCAGGCCGCCTACATATTCAAGACGGATGACGATGTGTTCATCAATGTGCCCAAGCTTCTGGAATTTCTGAGCACACACTCGGCTAAAAGGACTATGTATGGCCGACTGGCTCGGAACTTTAAACCCATTCGCAACAAGTTGTCAAAGTATTATGTGACCACCGATGAATATGCAGAGGATGTCTATCCAACATTTATACTGGGACCTGCCTACCTCTTCACTGGCGACATCCTGCACGAGCTGTATGAACACTCGCTGAACAGGCCATATCTGTGGCTGGAGGACATTGTCGTGACGGGTGTGGTGCCCGAAAGTTTGGGCATTAAGCGTGAGGACAGTTATTGCTTTGCTAATCTGGTCACCACATACAATCCGTGCGTCGTTAACTATCACGTCAGTCTGCATTCGATTAAGCCTATTCAACAATACGATATTTGGAACACCATGCAAAATAAGACTACCAAATGCTGACGCTGCTTAAAACAACAATAAAATAAGTAAATAAAATCAATATTCTTACTGAGAGTGGACATAATAAAATGTTTAACGTGTTTCCATTTACATTTGAACATTAATATAAAAATATTCGAATCTAAATATATCATTTCATTTTTAACTTTAATATGTTTCCAACAAATTTAATTATAAAATTATAAATACATATTTTATATTTACCGTAAATATTTATGAGCATTAAAAATACTTTTAATTACAACATTTAAATTAAAATCCAGATGAATTATATTTAGTTTCACTACGTTAGGGCGTGCTTCCTTTTCCGGAATGCTAGAGGAGCTATAATAGATCCAATACGTTCAGTGAGAAACCCTAATCTAAACACCAAAAGGATACAGTTTTGTTTGTTTTATAAAGGCAGTGAACCTTTATATTCATGCATACATCGCATACAGATCACTTCTGGTAAGCATGATGGAAATTCCCGAGCAAGTCACACGAAAAATGGAAATATTGCAGGACCAGCATACAAATCGATTTCACGCTTTGCATGAACCGTACGTGGGATGTGAGATTACATGTTAAACCATAAAGCAAAGATTTGCATAGTCTGTGGATATGGCTATGCACATTCTATTGGTAAACATTGCACTAACTGGAATCGAATATATTTCTCGCTAAAGTGAACTCCACTCATCTGTTTAATCTCCTTCCACCGCAAAAGTCGTTTGAGAACGAGGATATCAAGGCTAACATGCGGAACCAATCTAGAACATATCCAAGTAAAACCAAGAAGAAGATAACAACCCGGAAAAAGCTGAACACCACCGCACCCAGCACCATCAATGGCAGGAGCAGCGGCAACAAATCAAGTGCCCATTCAGCACTTATGTTTAAAGTTTATGAACCCGGACACATCAACCAAGAGATTGATAGCAAGAGGATATGCAAGGACGGCGGAGCACTTTTAAAGCTTCTCATTCTGATCACCTCAGCACAGAGCCACTTTATGGCGAGAATGTCCATCCGACAGACCTGGATGCACTATGCAAGCAGACGAGATGTGGGCATTGCCTTTGTCCTTGGCCGGACCACGAATGCGACCCTAAACGAGTCTATCAATCAGGAGAATTATATGTATGGCGATATGATACGTGGAAACTTCATAGACTCGTACTTCAATCTCACTCTAAAGACTTTATCGATGCTTGAATGGGCAGACAAGCACTGTCCACGGGTGAAGTACATCCTCAAGGCAGATGACGATATGTTCATCAATGTTCCTAAACTGCTCGAATTCATAGATGGGAAAAAGGACGCTCGAACCATCTACGGTCGCTTAGCCAGAAAATGGAAACCAATACGCAGTCAGAAATCGAAAAGTTTTGTGTCTCAACAACAATATGGGGGCGCCATTTATCCACCATTTACCACCGGCCCCGCCTACCTACTCACCGGGGACATTGTACATGAGCTATATGCGCACTCGCTCAGAACGTATTATTTTCCCCTGGAAGATGTCTTCATCACGGGCTTTGTGGCCAAGCGATTGATGATTAGGAGGGTGCATTCCGGCTACTTTCGCAATCGCCGCATCCCATTCAACCCGTGCAACATCCGCCACTCCATCAGCGTGCACATGATCAAGGAAAACGAACAATACGATCTTTGGAGGAAACTGATGGACTCGACTGTCAAGTGTAAATCAATTGCAAAATATCAAAATTTCACAAAACCATCTACTCGCATTTAGTCGATATTTAAAGTGTCGATTTGCGTATTGACGGGTACAGAGATCCGATAAATTGTTTGAAAGTTAACACAAATAACCGACTACACTAGGAGGTAACAAGTTTGTCATTCATTTAGATAAACTCAATAAAAGTACATGTGTTGCGTGCTTCTGTTTGTTCCAAGTTAAACAACATTTTCATACTGATAACACAGACCCAATTCTTTCCAGCCTATCAGATAACAGCAATAAAGTTGTTGTCACACAATTCAATTAATGAGCAATGTAGGGATCCACACTTCAGTAAACACAGTACATAGATAGAAATTACGAACCAAAAATAGGGGGTTTCAATTGCAAGAAAACATACCCGATATTCCGTAATAATTGCGAAATCTATGTAAACATCAAATATGTATAATAAGATATAAGCCACTTATGGTGGCTGCAATTTAACTATCAATGCTGGCCATTAAAGCAGACTGCTATCAGTCTGTGAGATGTTTTCTATGACATGCTAAGGTTAACTTAATATTAAGTTACATTTTGTTTATGGGTATTCGTTTGGCTTCAAAGCCCCTGTCGACATTGCATCAGCAGCCTTTAATTTCACGTTATCCAAGTAGCTTTACATAATTATTGGCTGACACGAATCCATTCTCATCTTTCTTCGGGGAGTTTGGGAATGGAAATTTCAGCTTCATATGCAAGTTGAATTCATCAGCAGTCAATTTCACTCTATCCCAGTGGCTTTACGTAATTGTTGGCCACGATAGGATGCATGTTGCTAGAATGCAATAACACGAATCCCTTCTCGTCTTTCTTCGGTGTGATTGGAAATGGATCGGGGGTTGTTGCGGGTCCAATAACTTACCGGCATGTCTAAGGCCATCAAAATCGTGTCGAGTACTATAATATATACATCTCTTAATCTATACTAAAATTTCTAGACACCTTGATGCTCAAACTCAAATACAACAATTCTGTTTATGCGTCCATGGATTTGCGATGAAGATATGAATTTATTTGAAAACAATTATATCATTGTCGTTATACAGTTTTACAATACAAAATGATTAACGCAAGAAAATATGTAGGTGCTCCTTTTTAAACGTTGAAAACACGTGGTTGGGTTTTAGCCTGGTTAAGGAGATGGTAAATGGATGCAGCAAGGCGCGACAATTATCAAGTTCCCAATACTGCATACGATGAAAAACGTTATTTCCATTGGCCAAAAATAAGTCAAATTTTCTTGAATTTAAATAATCTACCAAAGAGGACCACATATCAATAAATATAAAGCCCAAATTGTTAGACCAATCAATGCGTCCCAGATGATTGAGCAAGACAGTTTTCAGCATGTAACTTGATAGATGGAAAAAATCAGCGACATGAGCGTCACGCACTCCCTCCATAAGGGTTACAATTTTTTTGAAATTATTCAAATCTTTTGTTGCTTCACGTTTCGGAAGTTTCACGGAGAACATACTATAAAAGTGCGATCGTCACTGGCCCCGTATCCCTGCTTGCAAACTTGGGTAGACATTGGCGGAAAATTCAACGGCCACTGAGCTCAAGTAAACTCGAATGCTGGGACCAAATCAAACCATATGTTGCGATTCCTCCCGTTAGCTTCAATGGTGTGGGCACATCCGTAGCCCTTGGCAGTATACTTTACTTCATAGACTTCTCCAGTGTTGCCCTATCCAAGTAACTTCCTGAAAGGTTCAAATAATTACCCATTTGATCGGGGTTTTTTGCGGGTCCAATTACTTACC